CCCGCCCTTGTGACCCCTCGATAAATTATAAATTGTTATTATTATTTTCATATCCTACACCGACCACTGCCTCCCTTCCCCCATGGTTTCTGTTGTTCCTTCCCCTGGAGGGGTGTGTGTTAGGTGTCGATCATCATAATCGGTTCCCCCTCCTTCCCCTCCTCTCCCCACCTTCCCCTACCCTTCTGGTATCGCTCCTCCCGTTCCTGTTCCTGGATTCTGAGTGTCGTGAGCTCGTATCTCTTAGCTGTACATCTGCACGTGCTCCGGTCTCGCCCGCAGTGACCGGCAGGACTGGGGTCATGATAGTGGGGGGCGGGGAAGCCTCAGGAACCAGAGGAACATTGTGTGTTTCACCGGTGCTTTACTGCACCCTGCGTGACTCATCCCTTGCTGGTGACCCTTCTGTGACGGGATGGCCCATTGCGTACAGACGGGTTTGGGGTCCAAAGAGCCCCTTTCTGCGGGCACACACATCCCACAGTCGCTGTCGCATCTGACCACAAGCAGGGCGGGTGCCAGGAGTCCGAGAGAGGACAGCAGAGCTCTGGCAGGTGACCGGGCCTCCGTGTATCTGTGCCATGCTGGGAAGAATCCCGAGAGGACAGACGAGTCTGTCTGGGACGTGTCGCCAGCAGGGGCATGGACACGGGCAGCAACAGTGGGTCCGACGCCAGCTCAAGGGTGAGGGTGGCATGGGGCTGGGCGGGCGTGGTCCTGGTGTACACACCAGGTGGCAGGAATGGGAAGGGGCTGGGGTGACCTGCAGCAACACCTGTGCTTGCACCTGTGGGTTTCCCGGAGAGCTCTCCCCACCGTGTTACGACGATGCTGTAGATGCGGGTGGAACATCCCCCCCTCATTCCTAGTCATGTTTAAAAACCAGCAAAGGACAACGGCTGCCCCAGGAACTGCTGCCCGGCGTGTCCTGCAGCTGAGGCTGCACGCGCTCACTCCCGCTGGGCAGGGGACGCTCACTCCCGCTGGGCAGGGGACCCGGCTCATGTGGCCGTGAGAGGCTGTTGGGAAGCAGGAGCGGGAGAAGGGCACACTCACGTGTCTGGGCTCTCTGGGATGACCGCGTCCCCTGACGTCCCCGAGCCCTGGATCGACTCCATGGCCGTGGAGTACAGGACCTTCTGTGTGGCTGGCCGCTTGGCGTCCTGCATGTTTAGCGAGGTATCCTCCTCTTTGTCCTTGGGGGAGTGATCCAGCACGTGGATGCCCAGCAGGAGGCTGTAGTCCATGATCTTGAAGCTCTCCAGCACCTGTGAGAGGAGGAGAACAAGGCGCCAGGTCAGCCGCAGGGTCCGCGCGCCCGCTTTGCGCCAACAGCCGCAAAGAAACACCTGGGAGAACGCTCCTCAGACGCAGGGATGGCGAGACTCCGTCTTATGTCCTGTGAGCAGGAGATCGCCTGGACTGGTCCCTGGACAAGGGACATCAGGCCTGGGCGACACTCTGTGGAAAAGCAGGAGGTCCCTGGACGAGGGGGCTGCCCCCGGGGGCAGCAGCAATGGGCTCAAACCTAGGAACAACGGGAGCGGGGTGCAGGACAAAGGGGCCACTGAGAGTCCACACTGACCAACAGCCTGCAGCTCAGTGGTCGCCTTTGGACTTGTGGCTGCTCCTACCACCCAAGGCCCTGCCAAAGGGCCCCTGCTGTGCAGAAGTCACGCAGTGGTCCGGCTCTACCTTCTGATTGAGGACTCCCTGAGAGGAGCCTCCTCTGAGCCTCCCCGCACCCAGCAGGGGAGAGCGTGTCCCTGGGGAGCTAGACCCCCTTGGAGAGTGACAGGCTCTAAAAAGGAAACCCAGTTCCCACCATGTGACAGGCCGACCACCCGTAGCAAAGAAGGCAGGAAGTGGGGGCAGCGTCTGACCTCCTCCATGCCACGCCCACACTCAATGCCGTCCAGTTGATGCTGACTCACAGTGACCCTACCGGACAGGGTAGGACTGTCCGTGTGGGTTTCTGAGACGGTCACTCTTTCTGGGGGTAGAAAGCCTCATCTTTCTCTCACAGAGCGGCGGGTGGTTTCAAACTGCTGCCCTGGCAGTTAGCAGCCCAGCACAGAACCACAAGGCCACCAGGCGTCCTTCTGTCCCAGGAGGGGCTGGACATCACCATCACAGGCTCGGCGGCCGAGGTCAGACCTGCCCCATCTGCTATCCTTCCTTCCCAGCTCCGGCACCAGCTGCCCCCTCCCACAGCGCTCGCTGTGTCTCTGCTGGGTTCCAGGAGCCATGCAGCAGCTACACACAACTCACAGATGATGCCCACGTCTATACGTTTTATTAGGGGTGTTAAGGCTACAGTCGGGGTGAGCCATGCTCGCGAGACAGCCGTTTGGTCAGGAAGGTTTCTTCTCTCCTGTGTCCACAGGCAGGCCTCCCTCTGGCCCTCAGCCTCTGTTAAGGAGCCAGAATAGCCACCATGTTGTCTACTGGGCAAGCTCCAAATTCAGGCTCTGAGCCAGGAAGGGGGTGGGCCCCCATCTGGGCCAGGTGAGCTTGTTTCAGCCAATGGGGTCAACCAGTACCATCGACCACACCTCTCACTGGGGGTTCCTGAAAAGCCTGAGCCCACCGTGCTCTGTCCCAGGGGCTCCACACAGTTGAGGGAGGCTGGACCGCAGTCCCTCCTCTCCAGCTGCTCCTCGGCCGGCCCGGCTGCGCTTTTTCTCCGTGCTCAGGTTTCCACGTGGTTTCCACGTGTGGGTGAGACGTGCCCTGAGGGTGCCTGTGTAAAACCCCAAACTTCCTCTCTCCTTCATAAAACTCACTTGGATCACAATCCAGGAGTGAATTCTTTCTCACTTGAAGACAAGGAACAAGGCATTTCCACCCGGGAAACCTAGCACCGGGCTTGGCCTCTGCCCTGCTCTGGCAATGTCACCAAGCTCGGTCAGGGCTGCCAGTAAATGCCCAAAGGGCATGCCACTCTGCTCTAAGCCCCAGCCTGAATCACTCAGCTCCAGCTTCAAGCCCCAGCAGACCCACCGCCCCAAGTAAGTGCCCAGAGGCACCCCACTCCACAAGGCAGCCTCTTCCCACCCCAAAGCTTGACTTGCTCTGTTGGCTGGGTGCCCACTGCTCTGTCTCATGCTCTGGCTCCTGGTTCCGCTGCTGTGGCTCCTCTGGTGACACGGCTGTCCCCTGGATCCGGGGGGTTCACTGCCCAGGGACCTTGGGGTCTGGAGGACTCGCTAGATGGCTGGCTCTTCTCCTGAGAGGGCTCCTTTCTTACCCGGCAGGATGGCGGCGATCACCACGAACCTCATTAGCAATCACTCACAGCTGAATCCTATCACCCAGTCAGGATCTTCTCCCTCACCTCCTTACCCAGACCCCTCAGGACAAGAAGGGGCATCTGGGGGTGGTGTGGTGTGTGTGTGTGTGTGACAAATGGCTAAAGAGCCACATCAAGTCACCCACACGGCATCTGTGTACACTGTAAATCGGTAACCTTTCCACAGCAAAGTTCTGGGGATGGGTTGCACCCGTGTGTTTACGATGACAGCTTCCAGGACGGATGACGACTCCGTGTAAAGACAGCCCACATCCGCACATCTGGGCCAGCGGGTCGCATCACGGTAAACGGCGCCAAGACCGCGGCTGGCAGGGAGTTCATCTTGCTTGGAGCGCCGACCAAGGTCACAGCAGCAGCCGTTGGTCAAGGGACGCCGTTGGTCAAGGGCCAGGCTGCCCCGCACAAGACCTCTTTAGAATGTCGAAGAGCCAGGGTGCTGCTTGGAGGACGCAGGGGCGCCTGGCCCGAGCCCTCATCTCAGGGGCACATGGAAGTGGGGCATTGAGTTTCAGGAAGACCAGAGAAGAACCCGTGCGTGTGGACGCTGGTGCCCGCAAAGATTACGGAGAGTGCTACGGACTGCCGAAGGACAAACAGACCCGTGTGTGGAAAGGCAGCCAGCACGCGCCTTAGAACTGAGCCATGCCACCTGGACATGCTACTTTGTGCATGCTATTGGGCGAGGCCACTCCCTGGAGAAGGACACCATGCTTGGTCAAGCAGAGGGGCAGGGCAAAGGAGGACGGCCCTCGACAAGGTGGACGGACCATGGCTGGGACACCGGGCTCCAACATTGCCGTGGGAGGGCCGGGCAGCGTCTCCTCCTGCTGTCCACAGCGTTGCTGTGGGGCGGAACGGACTGGAGGGCACCTGACAAGCAGCATCAACGCAGAGTGACAGCAGTTCAGCTCAGTCCTCCCTGCCGAGCCCGCAAACCAGGGGAGCGGATAAACCCACCAGACAGGTGACACACCTGTGCCCAGAGCGTCTGCCTGCATGCCGCCGAGTGGAGATTTGCTAGGCAAAGTACAGGCTGCCTGGCTGTCCCAGCTGCCGTCCCACCTGGCCTGCGTGGGGCTCTGCCACCTTGCTCGCTTATGGCAAAAGCCACCAGGACTGCCGAGAGCCGGCGGAAGCTGGGCGAGCTTGGTGCTCAGCTGGGGACACCAGGTGGTCCTGCCTTCTCTGCTGAGGGCTGCTTCAGTCGGAACAAGTGCTGTGTCCAACCAAGGCCAGCGTGGAACACAGTCAGCATGCCATTCTGCACACACGTCTGCTCACACCTGTTCCTGGGGCACATGCACAGCTTGAGGGGTGGAGGGGGGTGTCTCCTGGCAGGCAAAGCATGGGCCATGGTCTCACTGGGGGCTTTACGCAGACTGGCCTTGCTGTCATTAGCTGCTGCTACAGCCAGCCTCCACTGCAAGGTGACCCCAGGCCCCACAGAACAGCCCTGACGTCCCTGGGATGGCTATGTGGGTCTGTTGGGATCTTCAGTCATGGTTCCCACTGGCAGGTTTTCCTGCCAGGGATAGCCAGGCCTTTCCTGCTAAACTGCCTTCACCAGGCAGCTCCATGGAAACTGTTCAGTGTAAGACAGACACGTACAGATGGGTGGAGGCTGCAGGTGGAGTGCGTGGTCAGGAAGTGACCTGGGCCTCCAGCGTGGCAGGCGAAGCTGCTTCCACTGAGCCATCACTGCATCCGGAGCCCCTGAGCCACAGGCTGCCGCCCTCTCCTGGTGGGCAAAGGTCTTGAGAGTGGCTGGTCACCCTCCCCGACCCGTGTTACCCAGCCACAGCCAGCGCTCACTGCAAACGCTCTCCCCGTGGGTGGCTGGGAGGGGCCATGTGGCTGCATGGAGTTAGAGG